CTCTGGGAAGGGATTTTCCGCTCTGCATGCTTGAAATGGCTCAAAGCTTCCTGCCCTGGCCCGCAGTAGAGCGAGCTGCTTATTTTCTTTAACCCTTTCCTCTTACACCACCTCCTGTGGTCCTGCCAGGCTGATGGGGTGCGCCCTGTGTCTCCCCAGGTCCAGGGCTTATGCAAGGAGACCATGACCACTGATGAGGCCACCAAGAGCGAAGGCGAGGTGCAGGCGGCAGCTCTTGCTGAGCGCGGGGAGGACATCACGCCAGCTCGAGACCGAGGGGTCCTGAAGGTGAAGGGGGCTGCCAGGAGGGTCTTGCCTTTCTTTCTGCATTTTGGGGTGCGTGGTCATGTTGGTGGGGTGCATCCCCAGCACTTGCCATGTAGGGCTTCCAGGGCTGTAGGACTGATTTTTTTTTTTTTTTTTAATTTGAAAGCAAAGGAGATGAGCATCAGCTGGAATAAAGAAGGATGGAGTGGTGTTGAGACTGATGGATTCAGGCTGCTCAATGAATTTCGATGCTATTGTGTTCCTAATCAGTTTATTAGCTGTAAATCCACAAAGCATTTTTGTGTGTGAATCACAGACATTAGAAAGAGCACATTACTGAGGTCATGCTGTCTGCCGCACAACTCCTTTTTGATATTCAGGGCCGTTTCTGGATAGTTCTGCTCCCCGGCGTTTGCTCTTCTCCAGTTGAACAGGACCTTTCCTCTAAGAATAGCATCCTCCCCTGCTCCATCCTCAGCTTGAGAACTGCTTGTTCCAGGCTGTAGCATTAAAAAAAAAAAGTGTTGACAAGAAGCGAGTAGTGAAATGACACGCCCCTGCGAGTAAAATGCATACAGACAGAAAGCGAGCGTAATTGCATTCGCTTCAGGTTTCGAACCGCAGTGTTTATCCAGACACCTCCGCAAAGTGCAGGCAGGTCTCTCTGCTCCCAGCCCTGTCTTGCTCTGTCACTGTGGCTCCAGTTTGGGATTTATTTTTTAGGGGCTGATGAGAGGACAATTTGAATGACTCCCCCTCGAGCCTTCCTTTGGTTTAGAGCAGCACTAGGATGTATGTGCATGCGTGTATGTATATATATTTTTATATATATGCATGCGTGTGTATATATATTTTGATATATATGCGTGTGTGCATATATAAAAATGCGCGTGTGTGTACATATAAAAATACATATATGTGTATGTATATATCTGTATCTATCTATATTTCCCTCCATATGCATCCTTAGCTGTCCTATGGCCTCCCTTCTCATGGGTGGTTTCTCTCTCTCAGATCATTAAACGACCCGGGAGCAAAGATGAATCCCCCATGATTGGGGACAAGGTTTATGTCCACTACAAAGGCAAACTGGCCAACGGTAAAAAATTTGACTCCAGCCGTGATCGGAACGAGCCCTTCATCTTCAGCCTGGGCAAGGGTGAGCCAGTCCGGGGCGTCCATCCATGGCAGTCCTCAAGGATGGGATGATCCCGGGGGGAGGTGGGATGGTCCTGGGAGGGGTGGGACCCTGTGTAGGACAGACAGACGGTGTCAGCCCTGTCTTAAGTGACTTCTGACGGTGGTGGTTTTTGGGGGGTGCCATCCTCACAGCACCCGGACTGGGTTTTTTTCTGGGCTGCCAGATGGTCCCTCCTGCCTGACATCTGCCTCTCTCCTAGGCCAGGTAATCAAGGCATGGGACATCGGGGTGGCTACCATGAAGAAGGGTGAGATCTGCTACTTGCTCTGCAAACCTGAGTATGCGTACGGCTCTGCTGGCAGCGCTCCCAAAATCCCCTCCAATGCCACCCTCTTTTTTGAGGCAAGTAATGCCATTGAGCCAGTGCGTGAATGAGCTCGCTTGCTCCCTTTCTGCCTTGCCAGCCAGCTCAGAAATAAAAAAAAACAAAACCCAAACCAAACCAACAAAAAACCCAGCTTGGATTCCTGAAACGTGTCCCTCTGCTCCAGGAACTGCTGCCAGGGTTTTCTCAGAAATGTGTTTCTGAGCTGGGAGGCTGGGACTCAAACTCTGGTTGGGGAGAGCCCTGGTGCCGGGGGGGGGGGGGGGGGGGGAGAGTCCTGGTTTAAAAATGCACATGGGAAGGAGAAAGCGGCTGGGAAATGCCTCCGGGTGCTAAAAACCGATTAGTGCTGCAGGGCAGTAGGAAAGCCAAGGTTTTGGCACAGTGCATTCCCTGTACAGGGCTCGTCAGGACAAGGCGGTGGGGTGGGAGGAATGGGTCTGTCCTAAATTAAGGCTTAGTCCTTCCAAGTTGAGTGGGGACTAAGCCGTGGGTCGGAGCGGAGAAAGCGGCTGGGAAATGCCTCCGGGTGCTAAAAACCGATTAGTGCTGCAGGGCAGTAGGAAAGCCAAGGTTTTGGCACAGTGCATTCCCTGTACAGGGCTCGTCAGGACAAGGCGGTGGGGTGGGAGGAATGGGTCTGTCCTAAATTAAGGCTTAGTCCTTCCAAGTTGAGTGGGGACTAAGCCGTGGGTCGGAGCTGGTCTCGCTGGAAAATGAAGGGGAAACTCCTGCCCACACTGGTCCCAGGCAGCTTTCATAGCATCTTCCAGCACCAGCCGTGTTGTACCCTTACAGGCTTAATAAACTTATTTTTACTGTTACTTTGTGTTACACTTCAGGTACTGGATGTGTCCCAATTTCTAATAAATTGGGTGTATTATGCTGTGGCTTGGAGCTGGCTTTTATGGGCAACTTCTTGTCAGCTGAATGGAGAATTAGCTGGTTTGGCTCTCCAGCTGGAGGATGAACTGCTGCTTTGTGGCTTTTCTGGTGTTTTTCTCCTCTCCTCCTCCCCTCCCTGAGCTCTGCCCACCTTTTCTTTTCTTTTATTTTTTTTTTTTTTTTTTTAGGTTGAGCTGCTTGACTTCAAAGGCGAGGACTTGTTTGAGGATGGAGGGATAATCCGGAGGATCAAACGGAAGGGAGAAGGTTACTCCAACCCTAATGAAGGTGCTACGGTGGAAAGTGAGTGCTGGTCCCTCTGCAAGGGAGGCTGGGGGGGGGTGAGCCTGCCCAGAGCAGCCCCGCTTTCCTCTCCCTAACAAGGAGCTGCTGGCACTGTATAGGTTGTACGTGGCCATGCATCACAGTGGGATGCAGTTACATCCATCCGGAGTCCGGACGGGATAGGGAGGGACTGGGAGGGCAGAGGTTCAGTGCCTGACTGGGGATGTTCCTTCGAGCTCTCCTTGGCATGACCCCGGCACTGGCTCTGCCAGAGCTGCCGGCCAGGAGGGTTGACTGGAAAACCTCAGGCCGCGGGAACAGCCAGCTGATGGTGGAGCGACCACTTGAATATAGCCTGCGCTCTGTTTTCTTAGTCATGTCAGCAAACGCATCCCTGCGAGCCCTGGTGCTGCTCAGCCTGCTGCCAGGGGGAGGATGGAGGGAGCAAATCCCCACAGGGTTTTGAGGCTCTGCCATCTCCTCCGATCCTTTTGTATCCATCGTGCTGTCCAAGCCACTCCAGGATGCGCCGGCTGCTGAAAGCCCCAGCTCTGCCTTGCCGCGAAAGCATCGGTAGCCAGGATATCCTCCATCGATGGCATCCTTGCTAAGCGTTTCGGGCACTGATGCAGGCACTCGGCAGTTTCTTTGGCCTCCTTATTCCAACGTTGATCAATCTTTTTGGTGGGTTTTATTGCATTTGCTGCAGAATGGAGCCGTTTCTTTTCCTTCCCCTGCGGCCAGAGGGATGTTGTTGATGGGGGGGTGGAGGAAATTAATAACAGAGGGTTTGCTGAGGTCAGGATGGTCTCAGCTGATGCTGGAGGATGAGGAGCTTGGGTCCCGTCGGGCTCTCCCTGTTCTGGTCACGTTTCTGGAGCAGACGTTTCGCAGGGCTGAATGGAAGAAGCCAGGCTTATTTTTTCTTTCCCAAGAACTACTCGGCCACAGGCACGGAGCTCTCTCCATACGGGAGGCATTTGCTTTCTTTCCTCCCTTTCAGAGCTCCTGTATGCAAAGATTAACTCCCTTTAGGAAAGGAGAAATTGGATCTGAGCTGTGACAGCTCATAAAGTTCACCGCCTTGAATGGCTGGTTCTTCTAACGAGGCTTTTTTTAAGGAAAAATGAGTTTTTGACTCATACTCAACTGTCTGCCTCTCCCGTGGTGAGCATCATAGCTGGGGACCAGCCATGAGCTGAGCTTCAAGCTGCCTCTGCTACTCCAGGAGTTAAACTTAAAAGACTAAATATAACTGAAATCATCACAGATCCAGCGTTCCTCTCTATTTTGACTAGGTCTGAGGGCGTTACAGGCAGGGCCGTGCCCAGTGCAGAGGACGGGGAGAGCCCTGGTCCCTCTATGGTTGTTCCCTTGGCAGCTCGAGGTTCTTTTGAATGTGATGATGCTTTAATGGCTCAGGAGGGGGCTGAGGCAGGGACAGGGGAGGCACCAGCCAGGAATCATCTCTCTTGAAGGACCTAAGGAGCCAAATAACAAGGCTCATTGTATGCCTGATGCCCCCCCCAAAGCCTAGTGCTGCTTTACCTATTTGAAACGAAAGCATCCATCAGAGCAAACACTGTGTGTGAGCACACGTGTGGTCAGAATAATGGAGATTAATGCTCTCCAAGACAGTCTTGCATAATCACAGACTCATAGAATGGTTTGGGTTGGAAGGGACCTCAAAGATCATC